ATTCTTAAAAAAAATTAATAAACATACAATACAATCAAGGTAGATTCACATCAATAATTTAAAAAAAAAAAACACAAAAAGTACTTATTTTCAGTTAAAACTCACCATTGGGTGATTTACAGCTGTCCTCAGCAAAGATAAGGGTAACTGCAAGAAGAGAGCATAAAGAAATATCAAATTTCCAATATACGGTCTAAATAGACAAACTGCAATTCTGGTGGTGACTGTTGATGTTGGCACCTCTTGCTTGCACCTGTTCTAACTGCTAAATTTTAAATGGAACAGTCCACGTGCAGATTCCAGGGTCCCATGGAGGAGGTGGGTGGGGGGGGGGGGGGGGAATTTACCCACTGCCCCCTAACAAGCATTGTTTCCTTTGAAGTCACAGTGCATCTGTCTGAGAGGCACCAACAGTCTGCACACAAATAAGCTAGATTTGTAAAATGGTTGTGCACACAAAACTCAAATTCTGTAAACAGATTAATAACCAAACTTTTCATCAGAGCTGACAACCAGTTGGAGAATGGAGTTGGAGAATGACCAAAAAGGATGCACACAAGCTGTCCACCTTCCACCCCACATGTCTACGTAGAATTATCAAAATTTTCTGGCCAGATACAATCTCAAACACTAAACTACTTCAAGCCACAAACCAAGAAACTTTAGACAGTACGATTACCAAGAGAAGATGGAAATGGCTTGGCCACGTTATGAGAATGACTTCTGATTTACCTGCCAAAACAGCTCTCACATGGACACCAGAGAAAAAGAGAAAACAGGGGCGCCCAAAAACAACACGGACACGAACCATGGAAAGTGACCTGAGTGCGGCATCTCTGACATGGAAAACTGCAATGAAGATTGCACAGGACAGGAAAGCATGGAAAGTCCTCTCTGAAGCCTCATGTGCCACTAGGCATAACGAGAACCGATGATGACAACCAGTGAATGCAAAAAACAAAGAAGAAGCATACTAGTTCCGTCCTGTCTAAACTTCAAGATAGGATGCTTCTTCTTCAGCATTCCGAGCCTTGAGGTTCATTGCTGCAGATATCACCCGCCTCCATTCATCTTTCTGGTTGGCCTTCTCTTTCCAGTTGGCGACACCAAGTGTTGGCCTGGACATTATCTCTCCACTGTCTTCTTGGTCTGCCTCATGGTCTACGACCATTCATCCCCCTCGAGTACACAGTTTTTACTTCTCTTTGGGCAAAATTTCAGTTCAAAGGTCCACATTTTCCTTTCAAGTAATTGCAAAATGGTCCTGATTACCATCTGTATGCTGCCACAGAAAAGACATGTTCTTCAGTTACTTTTGCTGTCATGACTAATTTTGTACTTTCTAATGAAGTTGGCTGCTTTCCTAAAAGCTGGTTGTCTTAATAGGCAGAAATGTCAACAGCATCCATGCCTGGCAGTGGTATAGCAGGGTTTTGATAGAAGTTCTCAGCTTGACTTCTATACTGATGTGGTGTGGAAGCTTCAGTAATAAGTAAGACTGAACTAACAGTTAACTGTGCTCACATTCACACAAGTAAATGTGAGTATGTCTGCTAACTGCTTATATTACTATTTGTGAACCAAACATACTGGTACCAACAAAGTTGAGGTATATACTAAAGAGGGGATCCAAGCACTAATTGGTTGAATAGTTCAATGTAGAATGTTGAATTAGGAATCGACATCATAGCACTCGGGACACCAACATAAGCAATCCGTCCCCATCTTCAACAGCAAGTGAAGAGTTAAAATTCTGATGGTACCAGCAATTGTCTGATTGTATATCTGTCTCGCCTTTACTATGAGTGCCGAGCGCCTGCCAGATCCCCTTGTAATTAATCGCAGTGCCATTCTCCTCAGACCCAAATGATCTATCTGTTCCTCGGCACTGTTCACTCTCTCCGAATGTAGAATTGTAGAAGTGGGAATGAAATGATCATGAATCATGATGATCTATGTCAACTTACGGCTAACTTCCGAATACCAGTCCCAAATTATAGAGGCCGAAAATTTACCCTAACGAGCAAATAAAATGAAGGAAACTGCAGGAGATGCGGCAGCTGCTGCTCGTGAGTCCCAGCCATCTAGTTTGGCCCCAATCATGGCTGGGCGTAGCCGGAAGTGCGCAACTGACCTTTGACTGAGGCCCTGTTAGGGTATATTTTCGGCCTCAATAATTTGGGACTGTTATTCGGAAGATAACCCCAACTTACTACTTCAATCAAATTCATGACTTTCAATATCTTATTCTATAAATTAATAATAATGGAAGTCGCCGCGGCGAAGCGGCTAGATGCTCGCCTGCGGATCGGAAGGTCGTGGGTTCGCTCCATGGCAGGGCTGGACTTTTTTCAAAAATGACCTTGGCCTCCAGGTTGACCAAGTCTTGAATGGGTACCAGGGGCAGCCCTGGAAAGTAAAGGTGGCCAGCGCGATGCTGACTTTTTGCAGTTGGTCTATAAAATATAGGTCTAGACCCTATATACACAATACGCATGAGAGGCATGGAAAAGAGTTCCTTTACTTTACAAATTACGGCTCTCCTCTGAATAACGGTCCCAAATGATCTACGCAGAAAGTGAACACAAACAGAGCCTCATCATGTCCTGCCCTACAAACATTTAAAAGGTGAAACTCGAAAAAAAATAAGAAACGAAACGTGTAAGGAAAAGGGCAAAGTCTACTATTTAATGAAAAGTAAATCCTTCATATGTGAAAATTGTGGCACAGAAGTTGCAAATAGTACACGAATATCTGTTCTTTCTCGCTGTCGCCTATTGCAAAGCACGGCTTGTCCGCGATTCTCGTTCCGGGCAAGACATGATCAGTAATGCGCGGTTTAATGTATGGCATGTCGCCTCGGACAACTTCAAACCAGCAGCCCCCACGATGGCGCCCTACTATCCTGACCTCCCCTTGACCGTGGTGAATGCGACCACGCTGGTACTTCCGACAGAAGAAGTAGCTCCTGTAAATTGTAGACTTTTTTTCCGGCGACTTTAGTGCCATCTCCAAGAGTATCCCCCGCGCCGCTATGCGCGGCGTAGAAGGGGCTAAACTAGATGGCTAGGACTTAGGAGAAAATACATTGGAGGAAGCTGCGGAGCTGCTGCTCGTGAGTCCTAGCCATCTAGTTTAGCCCCTTCCGCGCTGCGCGTAGCGGCGCAGGGGATACTCTCGGAGTTGGCGAAAAGCGGTCCGCAACTTACATATAACTCGGGCCCTGTCATAGGATAGCGCCATAGGGAGTATTCTCGCGTGTCGCTAATTTTTTCGTCTGTAGTTAATACTAGTTTTGCCGCCATTTAATCGACGTTAAAAAATCCGTTGCGTTTCGTGAAAATGTCGTGCGCAATTAAGCCTACTTTTGACACCGTTGATTCGCCGCAAAAGAACTGTTTGGGTTCACTTTCTGAGTAGATCATTTGGGACCGTTTTATTCAGAGGAAAGCCCAAATTACTAATACTTAAATAAATACTACATACTAATAATATTAGCATTATAAGTTAATAACAATAAATACATTTTTAAACATGATTTCATTACTACTGGAACCTTCTAAACAAAGAAACTGAGGTTATTTATTTCATTCCGTTAGCTCTGTGATCTACCTCAGTAAATAAAATTTTAGGTTAGAAACAACTAAATCCATTCACCCACAGACTAACTAAATCACAAATCCATTTTGCTGTTGATAGCGACTACAGTGTTCGGCAATTTGCGGTCTTTTGGCAATTTCCGTTACCCTGGAAACCGTTCGAAACTTGCTTCGCAAATGTCGGCTGGGGTTTCGGGATGGGTCCTAATCTCTCAAGAAATTTTGCGATTGGTGTGATTTTCACCCACTATAAAAAGCTGAAAATGGCGGGAAGGAACCCTATCAACAGCGCATGTCTACGACAGCCGTACATCCTCTGTTTTTCTGTTACATCAGTTTGATTGAAAATAGCGATAAGTATTCAGGGTTGGCTTTAAGCTTTAACTGTTACTAGACATGGTAATGCTAGTTATAATTGAATTCTCCGTCCAATTTTACATTTGTATATAAAATGTCTTTCTTGTCAGTGGCTAGGTAGATGTACAGTGACATTTTTCAGGCGATCGCTGGCTCAGCCAGTGGCTGTGTCTCATTGCCTGCCATCTTGTCCAATGACAGTCCAATGTAAACAAAGGCAAAACGATAAGTGCGCAGAGAAAACTTCTTGTTTCTGGGTCACAAGTTTTAGCAGCTGCTAGTTTCTACATCTCATCTCCACAAAAACCTACATATCTCAGCTAAGAAATGACACACAAGCCTAAATGAGGTACCGTTGGAAAGAGATTGTTTACAGCTATCTAACTGTGCTGGTTTTATTGGTGTAGAGGGAATTTTAAAAATTTGACTATAGTATCTACTGTTGAACTGTTCAGCTGGGGAGACGAGAGTGAGAGTGAATGTGATGATATTAGCGATGATGATAATTGATAATTGATAGATCATAGACGAGAATTGGAAGAATGCAATTTCTCAATTATTATAACGAAGGTAAGAAATCATTCATATTTTGTTGTTTAAAAAAATACAAAACATTTTACCATACCATTTTAAGCCAAACTGTTTGAGTTTATACAGGTCTGTCAGCTAACAATTGTCGAATTTCGTTTCTCCCTGCAGGCTGCTGGCGCAGAAATGAAAGTAAGCAATTCCGGAGTCTATTTCTGTTAGCCAATTATGTCGTGATATACCAAAACCATACAAAAGCCCAAAGCAATCGTTAAAAACAAAAGTTGTTTAATTTTTTTTCAAAAAGTATGTATAACTTAAAATGTAGAATTCATTTAATTTAGTTTACGTTATGTTTGCTGAATATTTAGATCTTGTTTTACGTCAATGGTTGTCAACAATCGTTCTCCATGCATTACGTCTCTAACTTATTTCACCAAAGTATTAAGTTGAGACAGACATCGCTGGTTGACAAGTCCTCAGTTTATTTCTGGTTTATTCTTTAGTAGATTTCATATGGATCTCAGGCTTGCTTTTGATGACGATGATTTAAACACAACAAGAGAGAAAACCAGAGATGATATTAATCTACCGTACAATGTTAAAACGTGCAGTCCCCAGGTATATACTGGTTTAATTTTGGTATTATTATCATCATGTGCCTTGCCATATTGCACAGGCGTTTATATCGCAACTTATATCTCGGTACATTGGGACCACATCATTGATGATATTCCCTATTTTGATTAACATAGTCGGGCATTCGGTTCTTTTCTGTTGTTTCACCACATTTCGGGGCCCTCGAGATTTGGTATGGAAATCCCCAGAACGTCCCATAGTATACTTATAGGAGTTGAAAAGGGGGGGGGGGGACGTCCGATTCGAGCTATTATAAATAGCTCCAGATATCTGGAGCTGGCCGTGGGTTAGGGCTAATGTTAAATGAATAGCGAAGACTACTACTAAGCCCAACCCTAACCCAGCCGCTTCCCATTGTAAAGGACACTGGGGATGGCTCTCCTCCGAACTTCTACCCGATGCTATGGCGGCCAAGCAAATAGCCTAACAGGACCTCAGTCATGTGTAAAATGCGGATTTTCTGCCAAGTAACAAATTTCTGTAAAACTAGGATCGGCTCCGAATAACGAAACAAATGCTCTAACAGGGTCTCAGCGATATGTTAATTGCGGACCTGTTTCTGGGAATATGCCGCACCGCCAACAGTATCCCCCGTGCCACTCCGCGCAGCGCAGATGGGGGCTAAACTAGATGGCAGCAGCTACCACATCTCCTGCAACTTCCTCTAATTTATTTGCTCTTGAGACCCAGGCATCTAGTTTAGATCCCCATCCGATATATATGTAAGCCTTGACCACCTCAAAGACTCCAACCACTGTCTTGAGACCCAGTCCATCTTTATCTTCCTGAGCATACTCATTGAGTCACTGAGAAAACATGACGGGTAAAGGACTTTGTCCTCAGCCATGTTATTGCTTCGGTCACTCCATGTCTATTCTTTGTTTATTTTCAGTGGTTTGAATCTGTCGTGGAGTCATACCAAAAGAATTTTGTGGACACAGAAGCAGAAGTGGACCTGGAGCAGATACCACAAATATTTAAATACAGCGGCGACTTTCATTACCATAAACAAAATTATGAGATTGCTGCACAGAGATACAAACGTTCTTTAGGTACTGCTTTATTATATATCACTAGATTTAGTGGGATAGTTTGTTTTTTATTTTATAATATTATATTTTATTATTATTCTTCATCACGTTCACCAGCTGCTAACTCTAGTGGAAAGTTCTGGCTGTTCGTCCACTTCTCAGCTTTGATCCTGTTCCAGAACTTAAGCTTTGCGTGCACATCCATTTTACAGATCTGGCTTATTTATATGCAGGCTGTTGGTTCCTCACTTTCAGGCAGATGCACTCTGACTTCAGTGGAATCACCCTTATATAGTTGACTTTTACGACATGCTTGTTAGGGGGTCAGTGGGCCATTTCTTTTTCTCCCTAAAATGGGGCCCCGGAACACACATAAAGAATTTTATACTTTTAACATAAAATACTTTAGTGTTTGTCTATTGTTTATTTAAATATTATTTCTTTCATTCAACATCTGTGGCTTAGGTGCTGTGAGAGAGCTCATAATATGAGGACGGAGCATGCATGGGAATGCCCCGATTGCTGTGATGTCAATTCTGGACTCAACTCAGCTCAGAGAGCTCATCATTTTGGAGTACCCAGTTTTTTTCAAGCTGTGGGAGATTTTCAGCTGACAGCCCTGCATTGATTCTGACAGTGATATTAAGAGCTGAATGTTCAGAAGGCAGTGGCAAACTACTGAATGTAAAATTGCTTAGTAAAATAACAGACAGCTAAAACAAATATGGTGGGGTTGGTTTTGCAGCATCCTATAAAGGAAAGTCAGCTAACTTTTCTTTCAATTTTTCTTCTTCTTGGCGTTTACCAGCTGTAAACTCTGGCGGAAAGTTCTGGTTGTTCATCCATTTCTGGACTGCAGTCCTGTTCCAGAACCTGGTTGTTGCGTGTGCATCCGTTTTATAGATCTGACTCATTTGTATGCAGACTGCTGGTTCCTTGCCTCTCAGACAGATGCACTCTGACTTTGAAGGAAGCTCCCAATTAGTTGACTCTTACAACATGCTTTTTGGTAGGCAGTGGGTCTATTCTTGTTTCACCTATAACAGGACCCTGGAACCCACATAGGGATTTTCTTTCAGTAAAAACATGCTGTCAATACTACTAGTTATTTTTTTAAGAATCTAATTGTGCTTTTACAGTTAGGATTATCAGAGCATATAAGAAATTAATGCTGGTCTAAACACCTACATACAACTTCGAAATGACACCTGGCCTCAAGAGCAAAATGTACAGAGCAAGCTATAGGGAACCATGAAGGACCTGCTACTGACATGCAAGTTCATAGAGGCCACCCATCTGATGGTCTGGTCAGAGCATACGAAACCGAACACAAAGAAAGAAGAAGAAGTACACTGGGGAAAGCAGAAATATACGGTATTCAAATAGTGCTGTAATTAAAACAATTCCAACAGAATTTTAACAGAAAACCACGATTATAAAGTAAAACAGTGACAGAAGCTAAGCAAGAAGAAGGATTCGTAAATAATAAAGGAAGAGAGTAAAAGAAAAAATTAATAGTTATTAGTGAACTTATAAACATGCACAGTTTTAAAAAAGAGAGTAAATAAAAATCAGGGTATATACAAGAAATGTAATTTAAAAAACATTAATGCAAACTAAACATTATAAAAATATAACAAAACATATATATAACAATTAACTGGTCATGGTTTATCTTAAATATATAACTGTCTAATTAAATATATAATTAGAACTTGGGATTACACAAGATAATAGGAGGGCAATACAACCTCATATAAAATTTATGAAATCCTAATACTCCATACCCCTATGGTATTGTCTCTAATGGGCTACATTTTATATTCAGTGACATCACCTGTGCATGGTGGATGTTTCCGAGACCTGTTTATGATTTTTATTTTTGACAGAGCTTTTACCTGAGAATAATGTCTTGATGAGGATAGATGTGAAGGAATCCCTTTGTAGGTGTTATCTGTACTGTGGCCAAACCAGTGAAAGTCTACAATTAGCAAGAGATATGGTACGTCTTCGTAACCCCAACCCACTTTTTTGTGTGTAAGTTAAAATAAATGTATGTTTCTTCTTCTTCTGCGTTCATCCGAAGATGTAATTGTGTTGTGCCCATTTACAGCGTGGCTGCGATACTTGTGCCTTTCAGCCGACACATCCGACTTCTGCAGGCATTTGTTGACCGGGTTAGCCTTCCGGGAATTTATGTTTTAGAATGTCTCAAGCCGAAAAAAATGTTAGATGTTTAAAATGATAACTCCCTAATAGTGTGAAAATTCTGTGCACTTTGTAAGAGACTTGAGGCAAGAGTGAAAATTCACATTAAAGCCATTTGTAAGTTCATTTTTTACTGTGCAAATGACTCAGGGTTTTGAAAATTAGACAAGTCAGTGAGTAGGGATCAGACAAACATACGGATATATATATGTAATCAGGGACCTATCAAAGAACAGGTCAGTAAAATAAGACACACATCAGGGATGGTGCTTTCCAAATAGGATAAAAAGTAGATAGATGAAACATAATTGTTTAATGTTCATTGTTCATTTAAAGATCATCTTTATTGCACGTCGGACATGACCGCAAGTGCTCCGATCTCCTGAGTATGTCTCCAAGTGTTTTTAGGCTAACAACTTCCATAGATAAAACATAAAGTGTGTGTCAGTGTTACAATGCATTCAACCACAGGCTTGATGATAGAGTATATTCTGAGTCAAATTATGATGACACCATAGGACATTGCTTTTTTTTTTTTTTTTTTCATCAAACACCGGCTGTGAATTCCAGTGGAAGGTCCCGGTTAATCGTCCGCTTGGACTTTTGGCTTTCACCTGGACCTGATTTTTGCGTGTACAACCGTTTTTCATTTCCCTGCCTCATGGGCAGCTGTACGCCGACTTCGAGGGAGACGTCAGGCCTATTTCTAGGTTGACTGTGGCCATTGTTTTTTGTGGGTCGAGACGTTGCCTGATTTGTGTGGTGTCCACACCGCAGGTGTTGCCCCCGGAGTACCCCTTTGGGTCAGCCCCCTGTGGAACAGTTAGCCCTCAAGGGAAGGCAGGGGCAGATCATGGGCATTCCCTGCCATCCAAGGAGGCATCCATGTATGCAGAGCCGGCACATCACGCTCTGGTTCTGGGCTCACCCAAGGAATCGTCACGTCCTGCACATGCCTGCTTAACCTCACAACCGTATCAGGCCTCCCGCTCGGCAGGGGCTGCGCCCTCTGGAAGTCAGCGGGGAGCAGCCCGTGGGTTTTGGACTTTTGTGACCACACAGATAGGGACATTCTTTTTTTCTTCGCACGTTAGATTTCTTTGACGAGCCGTTAGCCCGACAGAATTTTACATCCTGCATCAGGCATATCGTTATCAGTTTTGTCCCAACACTCGGGTGAGTGGGGTCTTTGGGTGTGGACATTCGATCTTTTTCAGTTCAATACAAATTTTGATGGTCAGATTTTGATCCGTATGATCTAGTTTTGTCGGACATTTAGGCTTAGTCATCCGATGGATGGTTTGCTGTTGTGGTGAACCTCAGCGCGGTGACGACGACACTGAGGGTTAACCTAGGATGTACAAAGATGGTCCGCCTATGGATGGTTGCTGTTGTGGTGCACCTCAGCGCGGTGTCGACGAAACTGAGGGTTAACAGTCTCCGCAGTCTTTTAACCAAGGGTTGTAATTTTGACTGTACGTTTGGCAGACCTACTCATGTTCCTAATGAGTTTTGGTAACATTTTTCACCCAAGCGTTTGGGGGCGGGCTGATGAGGGCCACAAGGACACATCACCTCTGGGGGCCGCCGAACTCTGAGATCCCCTGACAGCTCTGTTAATGCTCATTTGAGACATTATCCGTGGCGCACGACGAGGACGTGCTGTAGGGGTCTTGCGTGAGGTTCCGTACAACCAGGATAGTAAAGGACTGGCGCCCTAGTGACGTACGGAGTATCTCCTTATACACGTCATGTTGGGCTTAACTTCCCCTCATGCCTGTGACATAAATCACCGCGCCACGGACATTGCTTAAAAAGTGAAGTTATATATTTGCATAGTGTTGTAGTTGATATATGTAAATCATTAGAGAAAAGCTTACAGTTATGTAAGAGGTTATTGTGCTACATTATTTAAAGTAATCAGCTCTGGTTATGATCAAGAAATTATAAGTTTCATTTTCGTGTCAGGGCACGCAAGCGTGCAAGGAAATGAGCAAGCTAATGGGCTTGCAGGAAAGGCTTCTGTGAAGGGCAGATGAGCCATGGCTGATATACTGAATGCTGTACGAGAAGTAAGACTTTTGCAAGAACCAAGTGAATGAATCTGCAGCCAGACTTCAAGAACAGCAGGTTAAAAGGTGCGTGGTCAGACAAGAACACAGTGCAGATAGCCAAACAAGAATTAAAAACCAATACAGAACTGGTGTCATCACTCGCCACACGCTGTGGGGTTTACTGAGAAGGGATCAGAACATTTATGGTCTACAGTCGGGAGGTAAAGGTAAAGTCGGGAGATCTGAACCAGCGTTATTGCACGCAGTTATAAACCGTTAGTGCTCTGCCACCAGTACGGACAGCTGATAAGAAACGGTCCGCTTGTGTCGCCGTCTGCACGCAACTCCGTTGCTACAGTGATGTTCCTCCATTTACCCAGAGTGTTAACTCTGATACCCATTACCTAGAGGCTGGGTGAACTCCGGGAACCGACCGGTTTTAAACACTGGCCGTGGGCTGCAGCAATAAGCAGCTGGATTTGAAAGTGAGTCTCCTATCGACTGTCCTAGCGCGGCCTCTTGATATAGTCTGAATGGTTCGATATGAAATGAGGATAATCTGTCGACTAAATTGTTAATTTTGTTTTCATAAATTATATCTCTCCCAGGTGTCAGAGATGTCTAATCAAGATGAAACACATCAAAGGCAAGCATTATTACTCTTGTCAACGGTGTGTGAAAAGATGGAAAGATGGGCAGGTAAAAAGATACTTACCATGTCTGTGTGTATAGTAAGATAAATCAGTCACTGAGGTGTCATCTTCACAGTGGAGGTGGTTTGCAGTGAATCTCCAACACTCTTTTTCTATGGTACTGTTTGTTCACCTCTTCACGTTATCTTCCCACTTGTTTCACTGTCTGACTCTTGCTTGTTTGCCTTCAACATCCCCCTCCCACCAAAACTTGATTTTTTATGGTGCAGTGACTTAATGTGACCAAAATATTCAACTTCTTATTTTATTTCTGTTGCTGACTCTTTTCACCCCCCCCCCCCCCCCCCCCCCCCCCCCCCCCCAACTCCACATTTTTTTTGTGTGGTGTGTTTCTTTTTCTTCATCTGCCTTTCTAACCCCCCACTGGAGCATAGGCCCTCATCTAGCTCACGTCAAGCCATTCTATCCTTTGCTATCACAGGCAGCTCTCCCAATCATTTTAACTTTGCTGTCTTGTTCCCTTCCCCATGTGTTTTTTGGTCTTCCTTTATTTCTAAACCCCTGCAGTTTCCAGTGCTAAGACATTCTAGTTATATTGTTCTCAGGTTTTCTCAGCGTGTTTCATATCCAACACCAGCGTCTTTTCTTCACCTCTTGGTCCACTGGAACTTGTTTAGTTCTCTCCCAAAGCTCTACATTTGTGATTTAATCATACCAAATAATTCCCTTTATTTCGCATAGGCACCAGTTAATGAATGTCTGTAGTTTATTAGTTGTTCTGCACGTTTCCGCTCCATACACAAGTATTGGTGTGTTCCTGGACCCATTTTAAAGGGAAATCATAACAGACCTACTGCCCCTTGACAAGCATGTTGTAGGAGGTGATTAAGGAATTTGTTGAAAATGGATGTGTAGGGCCAAAGATGCAGATATCACAGCCCAGCTAAACCACAACACAGTATGTCAACTACCCTTTTAAGGGAAATTTCTGAAAAATAAGAATAACTCTTTTAATGTTTAATTTCAACATTCACTTTTTCTCTACTCATAGAGTGTGTTGAATGCTTGGAGAAACTGTGCACCAGACATCCCTATTTTGCTCAGTGTTGGGATGGGCTTGGCGATGCCTACATGAAGCTGTATTCTCATCCTTCAGTAGACAACGGCATTCTTGTGAAGGAAGAAGCATTTAATGGAGGAGGCCATTTTAATTCTGAAATACATATAGTCAGACCACTAACATGCTACATCAGAGCGAGGTAATTTTAATGTGCTGTCCTTCAAAATTATGACATGACGTAAAAGGCCTACTGAGTTAGTTATCCAGGTTTTATCCTCAGTTTTGGCAGGATTAATTTTCCCTGTCAGTATCATTTTAGAGGGGAGCCAGCTTCAGGTATTTGCAGTTTCAGCTTCATGGCAAACGAGTCAAACTATAGTTGCTCCGTTCCTGTGCCAACAAAAACCGCAAAGAATGTTTGTGACTGTCCCTTGAGGGGAAAAAATGGACACAGATTGGAGTCTAAGCAAATCCAACATCATGCGTGCACATTAAATGTATAAGGCAGCAATCTGAAGTGCCAACACAAACAGTCCGACACTAGAAATGTGATTCATTATCAGTGGAAGCAGCAGTTACAACAGATCAGTAGTTGCATACACAATTAGTTGCATAAAGACAATTAGTTACACCACAAGTTCTCTGGCAACAGGCCACTTGCCATTTTCTGAATCTACATTTCACAACAAAAACCATTTTGGGTACAGTCAAAAAGCATTGCAAATAAAATATGCAACTCACAGTATCACACCAAGCACCCAACTCAATAGTTGGGCGATGGAACTAAAACCTTTCAGTCTGCATATATAGGGAAATGCAACAGCAAACTATTGTCAGAAGCAAAAACATGCCACAACTAGAAACAGTATGTCTTCCTGTGCACCATATTGCCCGGAATCCCCAACTCCATTTCTTCTTCTTCTTCTTCGTTCACCAGCTGTGAATTCCTGCGGAAGGTCCGGTTAATCGTCCGCTTGGACTTTTGGCTTTTACCTGGACCTGAGTTTTGCTTTTAGAACCGTTTTGCTGTTCCTTGCCTCATGGCCAGATGTACTCCGACTTTGAGGGAAGACGTCAGGCCTGTTTCTAGGATGACTGTGGCCATTGTTTTGTGTGGGTCGAGATGTTGCCTGATTTGTGTGGTGTTCTCTTTGTCGCCTTCTCCGCAGGTATCGCCCCCGGAGTACCCCTTTGGGGCAGCCCCTTGTGGAACGGTTGGCCCCCAAGGGAAGGCAGGGGCAGATCATGGGCATTCCCCGCCATCCAAGGAGGCTTCCATGTATGCAGAGCCGGCACATGGCGCTCTGGTTCTGGGCTCACCCAAGGAATCGTCACGTCCTGCACATTCCTGCTTAACCTCACAACCGTATTAGGCCTCTCGCTCGACAAGGGCTGCGCCCTCCGGAAGTCTGCGGGAAGCAGCCTGCGGGTTCTCGACTTTTGTGACCTCATGAATAGGTACATTCTTTTTCTTCGCACGTTAGATATCTTTGGCGAGCCGTTAGCCCGACAGAATTTAACATCCTGTGTCAGGCATATCGTTTTCTGTTTGGTTCCAACACTTAGGCGAGTGGGGTCTTTGGGTTTGGACATTTGGACTTTTTCCCATTCAATACGATTTGTGATGGTCGGATTTTGAGCTTACTCGTGTGCCGTAGGATCTAGTTTTGTCGGACATTTAGGCTTAGCCAGCCAATGGGCTGTTGCTATTGTGGTGTACCTCAGTGCGGTGACGACGACACTGAGGGTTAACAGAGGATGTACATGGGTAGAGTCTTGCTGCAAGACACCACCCACAGGAGATTTTAATCGTCTGTGCTGCGGGTAAATCTCTAGGTCAAGGGTTGAGTCTCAGCAGAACAATGTTCTCTTCACTCCGCAATCTTTTAACCAAGGGTTGTAATTTTGTACGTTTGGCAAGCACTTTACTCATGTTCCTAATGAGTTTTGATAACCTTTTTCACCCATGGGTTTGGGGGCGGGCTGATGAGAGCCAAAAGGACACATCACCTCTGGGGGCCGCCAAACTCCAAGATCCCCTGACAGCTCTGTTAATGCTCATTTGAGACATTATCCATGGCGCACGACGAGGATGTGCTACAGGGAGCTTGCGTGAGGTTCTGTAAAACCAGAACAGTGAAGGACTGGCGCCCGAGTGACGTACGGAGTATCTCCTTACACACATCATGTTGGACTTAACTTTCCCTCACGCCTGTGACATAAATCACCGCGCCACCACTCCATTTAAAAAAGGGGTGACATAATTTTTTAGGATTTTCTGGGAAGGAAAGTAAATGAGGAAGAGAACTAGTCAATTCATTTGTTTATGTGGTGACCTAGAATATCTGAAGGTCTAACACAGTTTTTTCTTCTCTTTCTTCTTTTCTTGTCCTATTCTGCCTTACAATGTCAGGTTTTGAAGAGACATCGGGTGTGAGCCTTGGTATGTGCTACATCATCATCGTGTATCAGGTCTTTTGCAGGATGTCACTCTCATCACAGTCTGCCTGGAAGAAACTCAGCCTCTCACCAGCTGTCCTGTCTCGTGTACTTTAATATTGAAGGAGTCACTTATATCCTGTGCCCATCTTCATGTTGGTCGGCCCCTGCGTCTCCTTCCTGGTTCCAAGCCTTCTGCTATTATTTTTTATAATCTGCCATAGTGCTTGATGTGACCAAAATATTTTAGCTTCCGAGACAGGATGCTGTTTATTAGCCAATCTTTCTTGATTTTTATATCTTTGGAAATGACAGTATTTCTTCTCTTCTTTGTCCATGATATCCTGAGAACTTTCCTGCAGCATTTCAGAACAAAAACCCTGATTTTGTTTCTTAAGGACTATGTGTGCTGCATAGCTGCTGATATTTAATGCAGTGGATATTCTATCTATCGCTTAAGAGGTCGACCTCTAGGTCTGCTACCTTGGTGTTTTACTAACAGGACTCTCTGTGATGCACTATCTGGTGTAAGTCTTGACCATATCCATTGTGCATGTAGTCTGTATGGAAGTAATGCTTTTATGATTTGTCATAGTCTTGGTGTGTTGGGAAATGAGCAGGCAGATAGACTGGCCAGTTCTGCACCACTTGGTGGTGAACTGGTGTATGACAAGCTGGATGTTGTAAGGGCCCTTTGGGAGTGAGTGAACAGTGCTGAGGCACAGATAGATCATTAAAGTCTGAGGAGAATGGCACTGCAAGGAGTTACAAGGGGATCTCGATGCTCGACACTGAAGGGGAAAGGCGAGACAGATATATAATCAGACAGTTACTGGTACCATCGGAATTTAAACTCTTCACTTGCTGCTGAAAAGGGGGATAGAGCACTTATGAGGGTGTCCCGTTGCTGGGATTTCGATTTTTAATTCAGCATTCAACATTCTTGATAAACTTCCTGGGATTGAAGTTTTGAACGATAGTGGAGGCTCTGTAGCCAAGCTGTTTCTGAAGAACATGGATTCTTTTCGTGAATTGTGTGGTTGTAAAATCCCCTTAGATTGTTACTGGAGATGTGAAGTTCTTGCTTTGTGCAACTTTCTTTACAAGCAGCTAGTCATTCTGTTAGAGAGATACCAAGCCGTATGAGATAAAACTTGCTGCAGTGAAGTTAATCCCCTTGATTTTTAACTTGTTGAGAGGATCATGGGTGTTTATTTAACCTTTATGTTCCACGAATGCTTAAAAAACTGGATCATTAACCCTTGGGAAATTGTGAAATTAAAAAAAAATGATATGCTATAGAAACTTGCAGAAGATGAATTTAAAAAGGGTGAAGAAATAAGATTGCAGGTGTCTGAGAAAGGTTGTAGGAGTGACCAGAAGAGATAAAATCAGGAATAAGGTCATACGAGATGAAGTCGGCATTTCTTAATTTTTAAAAACACAGAAAATCAAATGGTTTGCCCACTTAGAGAGAATGCCTTCTGATGCCATACCATTCAAGGCATTTACCAAAAGAGGAGAGGGACATAGAGCAAGAAGTAGACCAAGAAAAAGTTGGAAGGATAACATCAGACAAACCCTACAGTACTACAATGTGTCTTTGGTAGAAGCAGCCAGAAGAGCCTTATTTCTCCCTCAACATCCAAAAGCGGTAAAAGAGGACATAAAGAAGAAGAAGAAGAAATAAGATGAATGTCTGAGGACCACCTGTAATAACAAAGAAGATAGCACTATATTATGCACATCTGGAGAGGAAACAGGAAGAGAATCACCCAACAGGCACTAAAGGAAGCAAGGACACCAAAAAGAAACCCTAAAATGAATGTTGTTGAGAGGCCAAAGGTACTAGACTGGATTCCATCCATAATATTTAATTGATTGCTCAGGATAGAATGAATTGAAGCAATAGAATATGAGCCTGACAAAACAAAATATTTACAGTCCAAATATAGCGGAAAATACAGCAGTTAACCATAGTTAGAAGCAAAGACGGCTGGCGTAATGCTGACCACATTACCCACCGAGTGTCGATTGGTCTGTAAAAATATGGGTGCTCTTCCCGTATGCCTGTTGCGCCTAAAAGGCGTGTAAAGGGATCTTTACTTTACTTTACAGAAGCAGCCATTGTTAAACACAGTCAGCTTGTCTGCCATATTGGGCCAGAAGTCCAAATATCAATCTCTAAGGAAGTTTGTTCATACATGCACAAACAGTTGGTTTGTGCTATTTTCAGTTAATGTGACTAAAAAATATTTTATGGAAGTCACCATGGTTTAGCAGCTAGATGCTCGCCTGCGAATCAGAAGGTCGTGGGTTGGGTTCTGGCAGAACCAGGCTTTCTTCAAAAATGACCTTGGCTCTTATGTCGACCCAGCCTTGAGTGGGTACCAAGTGCAGTCCTGGGAAGTAGAGGCCGATGTTGTGATGTTGACCACATCACCCACCAAATGCTGACTGGTCTATAAAAATATAGGTCTAGCCCTATATGCCCAAAAGAAAAGGGTCTTTTATTTTACTTTTAAACAGTATTTTATAATAAAAGTCTCATCCATTAACTTGATTTCATTTGCTGATGTTTTTCAGTTTGCTGTGTCAGTCAGTGATGGGCAATGCTAGTGGTCTTGTCAAAACCAGAAATACAGTTTTAATAGCAAAGGTACAATGCATTTTACAATGATTGGCTTTTACAAGGTGTTTTTAAAGTCTCACTGCACTTTGTTGACAGAAAAATGTGGGAAAAACCCACTAAATACATTT